GCCCGAGGGGGCGGGGCGAGAAGGGGGGCCTGGAATGTCTGTGCGCGTGACGCACGCGGGGTTCCAATGACGCAGGGAGCGCGGATTGTTTGATCTATAAATAGTCTCCTCGCGCCCTCCGCGCCGGCTAAAAATAGCATCTCCCAGACCCACTAGGCTCCCTCCGCTGGACCGAGAACCCAGCAGGGGCCCCTAAGTCCGATATAACCAGCCGAGAGGGCCAGAGCCCGAGGAGAGGGCGCTCTAGAGCAGCGGCCTCAGGGCTTCCCCAGACCAGGATCTCACCCTGGCTACCCTAGGCCTGGCCCGCCTTTGCACCCTCCCAGCCCTTCCTACTGCCTTTGGGTGTTACCCTCCTCGGTTTCTGCGCGTCCAAGGCAGGGGCGGGTAACGCCGGGGCACACCCTGGGGAGCCAGCCCCCCAACCTCGGTTCAGGGCGCAGCTGGCCGCGTTTGACAGGTCTTCTCCAGCACGGTTTTGCCTGAGGCCTCCCCCCCACCCCCTCCGGCCTGCGCTGATTCCCTCCAATAATCTCTCCTGCAAAGCCCCTTCCCAGACCCAAACTGGACCAATGGGCTCAGCGCCACACGCTGTACTTGGTGTCTCACCATCCCCTTCCTCCCCAGTCCCTTACAGGGTTGAATGCACCCTAGTTGGGAAATTACCAAATTTCAGAACAGGGTGGAGCCTGAGAAATCTGTTCAAACTCATGCCAAATCTTCCCCATTTTATAAATAAACAGGCTCAGAGAAATAATGGCATTTGCTCAAGGTCACAGCGAGGTGGTGGCACATGGGTGGAAACTAGGTCCACGCATTGTATTTCTAGGGGCTCTTCATACCCTCCTGTCATTGCCTCCGCCCTTTGTCCAGGATCAGGGAGCACCTGCCCTCCCACCCCACCTCCAGCACGGGTGGGGAGAGCAGCTCTGACCAGTTATCACCTGCCCCGTGGAGCAGAGAAGGGCCTGCCAGGGCTGTATCAGGGCACAGACCAGGTGCCTGGTTCGGCTGTCAACCCTCCACCCCATTTCACCCCAGGCTTGGGGAGCCCTTACCAAAGGTAAGAGGGGGAAGGGCTAACGCCAACAAAAGCACCCCACACACTCACTCTACTGAGACCTCACAAATTAATGTCAGCAAGAGTTTCTAGCCGGGCGAAGTGGCGCACGCCTGTAATCCCAACACTTGGGAGGCTGAGGCAGGAGGATCACTGTGAGTTTGAGACCAGCCTGGGCTACACAGGGAGTTCCAGGTCAGTCTCACTACACAGTGAGACCCTGTCTCAAAAAAAACAACAAAAAAACCCCAAAAAGTTTGTGCTGCCAGTAAGCCTGCCCTGACCTCATCCAGGCACCCTATGGCACTTCCTTCTGCCCTAAGCACGGCTCCACGCTCCCGCTCTCTCCTCCTATCACAAGTCTCCCACACCCTGTCTCCATCCAGCCCCTACTTCTTCCCACTCAAAATTCCTGCCAGCACCTCAGACTATTCCAGGAAGACCTTATCATCTCTGCACCCCCTATCCAACACCCCATCTCTGCTCCTGATGCCTCACATGCAACTGTTATTCCTGAATTCTTTTGGATCATCTCTTGAATCCCACCTTGCTGTTGCTGGCTGAAGCCCCACAACACAGACATTCTGTTCCTCACCCATTAAGAAAACTACCATTAGGGCCAGGGATTTAGCTCAGCGGTTCAGTGGCCTGCCTTGCAAGCGCAAGGACCCGAGTTCGATCCCCAGTACCAAAAAAAAAAAAAAGAGTAAAAAAGAAAACCACCATTGGCTGGGGATTCAGCTTAGTGGTTCTGCTACCTGCCTTGCAAGTGCAAGGTCCAGAATTCAAGCCCCGGAAAGAAAACTACCCTTGGAGCTAGGCATGTAAATCCATAGCAGAGCAGCTGTTTTTTTGTTTGTTTGTTTGTTTTTTCATTTTTTGAGACTGGTTCTTGTTATGTAGTTGACACTGAACTCACTATGTAGCCCAGGCTGGCCTTGAACTCGGTAGTGCCTCCTGGCTTATGCTCCCTAGTGCTGGGATTACAGGCATGCGCCACCACACCTGACCAGGGCATCTGTTGCATGCACAGAAGAGAAAGAACCCTTATCCATCCAGCCTGTCTTTAAAGCCTCAATGCCCACCACAAATGGAGCAGGCTTCATGTGGCACAGATCTGGTCATAAATTGCCACAGCTCCCCTATCCAAGAAACAGTCCCCAAAAAGTCCCCTGAGTGCTCAAGATTTTCTCAAACCATCTTCCAAAGATCTGCCAGGACACTTCGAAGGATGGTCAGGATGGTGCCAACTGGTCATGTCCGGAATCTCCATACCACCTCAGCCAAAATTTTGTCTTTCTTTTTCTTTGGCTTTTGCACAAGATTACACTTAGATTTTTGTGGAAAATGATTCCACTGCTTAAAAAATACTGGGAACCACTATCATAATTCAAATCCTCTGCATTTGAAAGTTAGGATCCAAGAGTTCCAAGAGGAGTAGCATCATCGCTCTGGAGCAAGTCTGTGCTGGCAAAACCAATCCCAGCTGTACCACCTCTGGCTCCCCACCTCCCTAACCCCAGCCCTAGATTCCTCCTTACCCCAGCAGGCCTTTCCTCAGAAAATAAAAATAATTTGGTTGGGGGGGTACCAGGGATCGAACTCAGGTCCTTGCACTTGTGAGGCAGGTGGCAGAACCACTGAGCTAAATCCCCAGCCCAATAAAAATAATTTTAATATCTCAGCAAAATCAGCCAAGGCAATGTTCTTCCCACCATCCAGTAAATACAGGTGTATTACTGCACCCTGACCAGTTTGTGCTGAAACTCATCTTTATCTCCGTCTTGAGGGTTGAGCATCTCTCTGGGCTGCTGCAGGCTATAGAGGCTGCATGCAGACTGCTCCTCTGAAGCCAGTGGAGGGTGAGGAACTATAGCTGCCACCTGGCGATGCTTTGGGAGGCAGGGATAATGGGGTCTGAATACACCATACTGTAAAAACAAGCACTGTAAATAAGGAGAAAGAGGAAACAGCTGGGGCCACCCTGCAGGTACTTGTGTAGAACCTCTAGCTTAACAATGATGAGAAAAAGGCAAAAGGGGCTTGGGAAGCCCAGGTTTTATCCCCGTTCATCTGAAGATCCCCAGGGAGGGTGGCCTGGGGCTCTGTGGTGGGTGGGGGTGGGTGCAGTCCAGCCAAGTAGAACTCCAGGTAAAGCTGATGTAAACTCTGGGAGACCCAGAGAGACAGCCGTCCTGGATGAAACAGAGACCAACGATGGACCTTCAAATCCAGCCTTCAAGGACAAAATTGGAATGAACAGCTCGTTAAGGAGAGAAGGGAGAGGGAGGTAAGGCCAGCCATTGTAACACAAGGACAGAAAGAGAAGATGTCAAGTTAGAGAAAAGCAAAAACTAGCTCCATCCTAGTCAAGCCCCATGCCATGGCACAGCCTCCCATTCTGCCTTACCACCCAGGGCCCCAGATAAGGTTCTTGAGCTAACTGTTCCCATTACCCACTTCTGCACATAATGTTTTTCCCATAGGGCACTTGTTCCTCTTTCCTCTATTTAAATCCTGCTGATCTTCAAAGACTTCAGCTTATAGGCAGCCTCCACCCCCACCACCCTGACTCTTAATAACCATAGGGAGGGTAGGGCAGGTAGGTTCCAGTTACAGGTTGGGCTTTGATCCAGGGCCCCTCACATGGATTCCTCTATCTAACACTCTTCCAGGTTTGGAATGATAACTTGCAGTTCATGACTGAGGAAACAGAGACTTAAGGGCAGGTTCAAACTCAGGTCCTCCAACCCCCAGGTTCATGCTGACCTACTGCCTTGACTCTGTGGCTTTGGGCCTCAAGGGCCTTGATGCTTCTCAGTGCACCCCAAAACCATGCACACACATGGCATGAGACAGGGGCTACAGGGTGGTCCTTGATGGGACTAGAAGTGTTCTTCCCAATCCGGACAATGGGATGTTGAATATGTTCACTCTGGAAAAGTCTTCAAACTATACTCCTAAGATTTTATACTTATGGGCCGGGGATTTAGCTCAGTGGTTCTGCTGCCTGCCTCGCAAGCACAAGGACCCAAGTTCAATCCCTGGTATCCAAAAGAAAAAAAAAGATTTTATACTTATGATATACATACTTTTCTGTATGTATGTTATACTCACCCTAAAAAAGTCTATTAAAAAAGAAACAGTCACAGTTAAGTGGGAAAGACACACATATATTTATTCATTCATTCATTCATTCTTTTTTTTTGTTTTGTTTTTGGTGACACTGGGGCCTGAACCCAAGGCCTTCACACTAAGCTACATTCCAGTTCCCACCTCCATACCCTTCACAATTTTTTTTTTTTTCCTGGTATTGGGTCCTTGCACTTGCAAGGCAGGCAGTGGAACCACTAAGCTAAATCCCCAGCCCTACCACCTTTCTTTTTTTGAGGCAAGTTGCCCAGGCTGGTCTCCAACTTGCAATCTTCCTGCCTCAGTTTCCTACAGTATACTAGAATTACAGGCATGCACCACCATGCCTGGAGAGACTTTTTCTTTTTTTTTGAGACTTATTTTTTAAACAGATACAGATGCAGCTGGAATTTACTGAGTATAAATTCATTCAAGGGCATGTTTCTGAAATCAAAGTAGCTGTTTCTCATTACGCATTTGTTCTAGCAACAGATACCCAAAGCACTAGGAGGGGCCACATCTGACATCAGAAAAAGGCCTACATGTTGGCTGTCAACGCGGCAAACTTGAGGCCCAGGGATTTCTGAGCTCAGACCCCTATCTCCCCCAGCAGTGTATGAACAGCACAAAGGTTAAGGGCATTGTCTTCCCCTTGGTGGGGGGACCTTTACACACCCTCAACAATAAATCGCTGGGGGATGGGTGTGG